AGAATGACCTTCAGCTGATCCATGGGTCATATCCAAATCCATCAGTTTGGACGCAAAATCTACCCTGGAGAAATACCAGAGGTCAATTTATACATGAGTATAACTATGTATCATTGTTCAGATTGTGATGGCAAGCGTTTCAGCTAAATTGCTACTTCTTAAATGCCAATTCTTTGTGTTCCAAAGTATCATGTCCCCAGATAGCATGTTATATTTGAATACTTTTTCCTGGTAGGGAAAATACAGGTTGAGTGATATTATATTATTATTTCTGTAATGGGATTTGCTGATATTTGAATTACGGAGGAAAATAGAGTGTTCTTAATGAGATACACATGCCTTACAGCCGGACTTTTCCTGATTTCAGCCAATTCCTCATCATGGATTCCCCCCTATCTAATAAAAACAGAATCTGAAGGGCATCAGAACAGATTCCCTGAAGGTAACGGATTCTGCATTAGTACCAGTAAGCTTTTATGTTGGGTCATGTCTGCTGATATATACTCGATTTGTTATAATTGCAACAGCCACTGGCTTGATGCAAATAAAATTTGATTTGATACCCCGGAGATACCAGATCCTATTTGATTTTGGAAGCTAAACAGGGCCAGGCCTGTTTAATACTTGGATGAAGGTCTGCTGAGGAATATAATGTGCTGTAGGCTGTATTTCAGAGGAAAGCATACCATTTTTGAGTGTTCCTTGCCTGAGAAAGCCCTGGGGAATTCATGAGGTCACAGTAAGTTGACAGACATCTTAAAGGCACACACACATATATATCACAAAAAGTAAAGGCGATTATCACCCTTTCTCCTCCTCATCTGTGTGCTGTACAATCATCACCAATGGGTTTTAAAGGATTTGTGATGAAGCAGGGAGGCATTTTAAAATTTGGAATATGTTTATGGAAACTGAATGGATACGATACAGATGTATGTCTCTGTTACAGAACTGGCAGAATGTACTTTGTCCTCTTCTTCATGGTAGCCCCCTGGTTTGATGAAGGTATGCTATACTGCATGTGATTGAGAAGGAAACCCACTCAGCCCTTTAGCAGCATCCTTTTACCCTTTGTGTAGCGTTCAGGTAGTAGGGGCTCCCATGGGAGGAAAAAATGCTGCAGAAACCCACTTATACAAATTCAAATTGAACTAATTTAAATATAGGTCAAACTTACAATTTTGCACATTAGTCAGTAGACATTAAGGCCCCTTCCACACTGCCAGATAATACAGGTTATCATAGCAGAAAATCTACATTATCTCATTTGAGCTGGATTACTTTAGTCTACAATGCCATATAATCCAGTTCAAAGCAGATAATGTGGATTTTATATGGCAGTGTAGAAAGGGCCTAGGATTACTGGGGAAATAATGAGGTTGTGCATTTTAGAATGCAGTAGAGTTGGTTGCTCTTCCCCCACAACACATATTAGGTTATTCAATCCTTTAAGAAGCAAGTAAACAGAATGCGACACAAATCCACTGGAAATGTTACAGCCGAGCAGAACACATGTCCACCAGTTTAAGAAAGGATTAAATATAATGACCCAGTTAATCCTTAAAAATGAATGGTTCATTCACTGAATTTTATTTTAGATGAAAATGCCTAGGCTTGTGTATGAAACATTATTTCATATTGTGACTAGACTGTTCTCCTGCTTTAATGACTGCACAAAATGGGTGTCTTCAGGAAACAGCTGCCATGATGTTTGTGTATGCACATATATAGGCCATTCACAAAAATTAGAGCCAACGTTGGTGGGGGGGGGAGAGAGATTTTACTCAGGGACCTTCTTCCATTTGCAGAACTTCTAGGAGATGAATCTTCCTATTGCTGTGCCCCCCAAGTTTCTCTGGAAGGCTTTACAACTCTCAGAAGATGCTTTGAGGATTATAGAGAAAGCTAAAGGGCACAGGATGGAAGAGGAAAAAAACAACCAATTCTACTGTTATCATAGTAATTTTTGAATTGTAACTTTTATTTAAAGATATTTTTAGACTAAATGGTGGGACTAACTTCTTTGTAAATGCACCTTGGAATGCAATGTTGGTATATCTTTGGTACATATATCACATATTCAAAATCTTTAATTTTGCAAAGTTAAAAAAACTGCTAGGAAATGTTTTGGCTATTTTCACCTCTAATGGGAACAGAATTAAGGGTCAAGTCATCAAATAATGCTTCTAGCTTTTCTTTAGTTAATCATATGGTTAACTCAATATGGCACAGTGTGTTGGTGGCCTCTTTCACATAACAGCTGAATGATAAAGGTATTGAACTGGAGTGGGGGTGTGTGGAAATGAAATTCAATGGCATCATTGTGTCTGTTTCCCTGCCAAGCCCTTTATACCATGTACCCCAAAGCACTACTTGCCTGTGAAATCAGTATTTCAGAGAGAAAATAATTTTACAAATGTCTCCGGAGAGACCAACAGCTGTTCAAGAGAGAAAAAGAATAAATTGTGGGTGTATGGAATTTTGTGCTTTAGTATAGAATTAAATCAGTAGTAGCAATGAGGGAAGAGGTAAAAGGCATTAAACGGCTCAGAACAGCTGCTGAATTGCTATTCACAGAGAAGCTAAAGAGGAGCCTCTGCTTTTAGCCATTTGTTTCCTTGCTTAATGTGGATCTGAAGTGCTTTATCTGGTATTGAGGATTCGACATGACTATGATTATTTGCTAAATATGTTTGTTAGATTGTGTGGGAACAAGAATAAACAATTTAATTTTTTAATTTTTTTTGTAGCTCAGCAGCACCACATTGGGTTTGTGTGCTGTACAATTCATGAATTGGATCCAAGAAGTTGCCACTTCAGCTATAAATCTAAAACTCAGGGTTCTTGTTGATGTATTCCTGTTACAAATAGCAGCAGGTGCTTCATAGGCTGGATCTACACTGCCAAATAATGCAAATAATGTAATTCAATGCAGTTCAAACTGCATTATATGGGTCTACACTGACCATATAATGCAGTTCATATTACATTATTTGGCAGTGTAGATCCAGCCAAAGTTTTTCCCTGGTTGTTTCTGACATTTTTTCCCCACTATTTTTGTGATGTGACAGCCAAGATATGCCTGCCTTTTTCAGAGGTTTGGAATATAGTAACTGTGAGTGCCAGTTCAGCTTGGTTAATGAGGTTGTGCCTTGCTTCTTGCAATATTGTACTCCACAACACTGAGGACTGCAGAAATTTACACATGGTATAAGCTGTCGTTGCTGCAGAGAGATGGACTTGAAGAAGAAACATCAGAAGAAAATATCTCATTTACAGCTCCATAGACCTGTCATTTCTCACTTTTCATGATTGCTTTCTGACAATCCAATTTGATGGAACAAATTTAAAAAAAAACAAAAAAAACAACCGTTGCTTTCATTTCTAAGCATTCACATTGACCTTCAATCTGGTTCTGCTTCTTGTGTCCAAGACACCAGCACTGCTCCCAGCACTGCCCTGCCGGATGAATGATGGGGGTTATAGTCCATCACATTTGGCAAGTGTGGAGTTGAAGACCAGTTCTTGTTGCATCATGGCTTTAAATATTGTAGTACTAGTGTAGGTGTGCCAATGGATCAGGAGGGGAAACATGGCATACTCAATGTTTTAACCTGTTCATTAGCAGCCAGATATTTGCTATTTGTTTGCATACAAGTGTTTATTTATCACCATCCATATGCAAAAGCTCTTTAGAGGACAAAGATTTATAATATCAGTTCAAAAGAAGAGTAGTATCCTCATTTGGATGCATGCAGCATAGGATTCATTATTGACATTTCTTCCAAGACATGAATTTCCACATCCTAGTTGCCATAATAGAAAATGTTTTTCCCTTCTTCTAAACACATTACACCAAATTTATATCCCCAAATATATTCAGCTCAATTGCTTTAGACTAAATAAAGTGATTTGAAACACACTGGCTGGTGCTCTAGCTAGAATTCAGTGATACATTTCCACTGAGAGATCTATCCACACATGCTGTAAAACCCAGATGTAACCTGGTTACATCTGGGTTTAGCCAAATTGCTGGAGGGATTGAGTTAAGAGCTTTAAAGCACATGTTTAAAAGGCACACTTAAAACCCACTTTAGCCTGAAAAAAGTGTACTTTTGCATGACTGTATATCCCTGTAGTCACGCAAAATACATGCTTTCCTTCCCTCCCCCCTGTGTAGACTGCTCCAGGGTATGTGTGCATTTAAAAAGCATGAAACAGATGATCAGCTGATCAGGCTGTCAAATTGAAACACAAGTGGTTCAAAAGAAGCACAAATGGAAAGCAATTAGAAATGTCTGAAACTCTTTGTTTCACACTTTATAATCTTAAACAGAGATTGAATTAAGAATTGGGGGAAGAGAGAGATATGACTGAAGTTTTTTTTTAATTCCCTCCATTATGTGCTGGACTTCATATCCACACATGCAAATCTGCTTGTGTATATATTAAGATATTCATATGTGTGCACATAATGGAGTGATTTTTTTTTAAAAAAAAAACTTCCACCAGATGTGTCCTGTCTGCTACAGAGGAAGGTATAAGGACAGCAAGGCACCATTTCCCAGAACTGACAGGTCTCTGTGTGGACCTGCAGGATTTTTTTACTCACTTCTAAAACACAGATTTTGGCGCAGTCTGGAAGTGCCCTGAATCTCACTGCTTCTATCAGAAGAGGTGTACAGCCTTTTCTCCTTCAGGCTCCAAGCACCCTGTAAATCATCTTTCTCAGGTTGCAAAACATTCTACTCTGGATTTCCATTGCCCCGAAAGAGTCTACAGGAGAGGGAACAAATCCACAATTCACATTAGATATGAAAATACACCACTGGATCTTGATCTCTGATTATATTCCTTTTTTATTTTAGGTAAATACAATTTTCCAAGTAAAATGGCTGAATTATTCTTGGAACCGATATAGCTCTAAATATTTCCTTTTTCTCTCTTTTTTCCTCTTTTTCCTCTTCTTTCTTTCTTTTTTGTTTTGTTTTGTTTTGCAGATGGCTACACAACAGATGATATTGAATTTTACTGGCGTGGAGGAGACAATGCAGTTACAGGAGTGACAAAGATTGAACTTCCACAGTTTTCCATTGTTGAATACAAACTGATCACCAAGAAAGTTGTTTTCTCAACAGGTTTGTAAATGGAGTGTTTAAATATGAAAGAGTTTTATAAAGCCTCTGGCATTTTACTGACTAAATCTCTCTAGCCATCAGAGACTATATCTAGGTATTATGAGTTTCTCAACTTGGAATTTACAGTAGTTTCAGGAGAACTGTCAAATTTGCAGAAGCCATAAACTTAGATGAAGTGACTGGACTGACCTTGAAGGAGCTGGGGTGGTGACGGCCAACAGGGAGCTCTGGCGTGGGCTGGTCCATGAGGTCACGAAGAGTTGGAGATGACTGAATGAATGAACAACATAAACATAGAAGTTAGGCCACTGTATAGCTTTGTTGTATTTATAGATACATGTTAGCAAAATAGATTCAAGAAATAGGCATTGTTAAATGAGAGATTTTATTTTCATATATTTATTTTACTTATCACTTATGCTCTGTCAGAAAAACTCAGTTAAATGTAATCTGCTATCAAGGCTGCAGAGTTCAATAATGACCTTTGAAATATTGATCTTTTTATTGTAGGTTCCTACCCAAGGCTATCCCTCAGTTTTAAACTTAAGAGAAATATTGGCTACTTCATTCTGCAGACATATATGCCTTCCATTTTGATCACTATTCTTTCATGGGTTTCATTCTGGATTAATTATGATGCATCTGCTGCAAGAGTGGCTTTAGGTAAGCAATGCTGCTGCACTTATATTTACTGTGCTGTAGAAATTTGTATTCCTTTTAAAGTTTATGCAATTTCAAGCAGTGGGACACTTTCTGTTAGCTTAGGTAAGTAAATTGGTTTCAAACTTGCTGAAGTGACTGAGTCAAAGTAAAAGCATGTGCTTTTACTCAGTTGGACTGTATTAGAGATTTTGCATTCTAAAAATGATAATTCAGCTAAAAATTAAGCAATATTAGCTATAAATTAATTACAGTACATATCCCATATTCATGGGAGATAAATTCTAAGACCCTGGTGAATACTTAAAACTATGTATTAGAGTGAACACTATAGTTTGATTTTATTTGGGCTGGAAGCATATCATAAAATCGCACTGGGGGACCTAGAGAGGCTCACAAACATTTTTGAAGTGTGAATAAGTGAAACTGTGGATATCAAATCTGTGGATAAAGGGGTTGCATGATAACTCTGTAGTCTTTGGCTTTTTGTTAGTTTGTTTATAGCATTTATACCCCATTCTTCAATCGAATAGCTCTTAGAGTGGCTTACAAATTATTAATTTGGCAGTCCCCTGCTCTTAGGTTTTCAATCTAAAAGACTAGAAACACGAGTGGGTGGTTGGGTGTGGGGAGGTAAATCCAACAGAATCTTGCTTCTATTTAATTGCTAGAGGACAGAGTTGTTGCAGTTGGTGTGGAAGGATGGCCTTTTCTCAGTTGCTGTAATTAAGACACAATGACCTGTGCCTAGCCGCTACATGTTATTGATCTTGCTGGCCATGTACATTCTTTAAATTTGGCTTGGTGGTGCATGGTCTGCATTTTAAAATGTGACATGTTAGTTCCTTCTTTCTCCTAGTAAGTTTGAGCAAGACTTCTACCTTAACTTTGAGACAAGTACTCCCAGAAAGTATGCATCCCTGAGCTAGATGAGTCAAGGATGTTATCCGACGGGCAGGAGGGGAGTGGAAAGTGGAAGGAAGCATTTAAAAGACCTTCCCCTAGCAAGGTCCATCTTTGGAGATGGCAAGCCATCCCACACTCTTCCCCCATCTTCTTCCCATTTCCCCCTCTTTCTTTAGGTCTTCTCTCCGTTTTTGCACGCTGGCAAGATGAATTCCCACAGGCGGCCACTAGAAGTAGTTGTGCGTCATAGGATGGCTGCTGTGGGACTCCATTTTGCCAGTGTGTGAAAAAGAAAAGAAAACGGGGGCAAACTTGCATGGCATAACATCCATGATCTGAATCAATAAAGGCATCTTCCTAGCTTCATAATGAAAATGCACCATGTGATCTAAGTCTATTTGTCTTTAAGTTCTGCATAGAAAAATAGATCGGTAGAGTAAGGTTTAAAATCATGACTGCATTTCCTTTAGTCCTGTTTCTTGCACTCCAACTTAACTTATAAATCTATGCATTTTTAAAAGCCAGTTTCATAGAACTGAAGAAGAAATGGTAGAGCCTGATTTCAAGTTCCAAATTAGGCCTTCAGACCTTTTAAAAGAAATAACTCCAGAAATTTAAACCAGAAGTCAAAATGGAAAAGATTCTTAAATAAATGCTACATTGATGAAATAGAGTAGCTTTGATCCTACTTTGAGTCACTACTAGATCGTAGTCCTTTTTCGAGAAGAGGAAAGATCCCCATGATGCTAGTTTTATGTAATTCATAATATTTTAAACTGTTATTAACATTTCTATAACAAAACAAAAGAAAAAAGCAAAGTGATTGGATAATAGAACTGGTTGCCAGTATTCTATATCACCTTCTATTTAACATAAATTTATTTATACTTAGTTAAGTAGGAAAGGTGCTATGAAGTTAGTGAACTGTAAGAATATATATTGGGACACTAGCAAGTGTATCTGGTGTGCATCAGAGTGTGATGGCCACACTTTGCCAGCTCTATTGCACATTAGCAGCCCTCTACTGGATATGGATATTATGAAACTAACCAATTCTTATTCATCCATACATAGCTCCACTTATAAAGAGGTATCTCCCATAAAGGATTCTGACCCATGTGTTGTACCCCTTCTTCATTTTATTAATAGATAAATTATTTCATTCAGTATAACTTGTAGTGATCATTTTCTTTTTTAAATGAATAAATTAAACTGGCATTTGTTACACTTTTTCCAGGGATCACAACGGTGCTCACAATGACAACCATCAATACTCATCTGCGAGAAACACTGCCCAAAATTCCCTATGTGAAAGCCATTGACATGTATCTGATGGGATGTTTTGTCTTTGTGTTCATGGCCCTCCTTGAGTATGCATTGGTCAACTACATCTTCTTTGGCAGAGGACCACAGCGTCAGAAGAAAGCAGCAGAAAGAGCTGCCAGTGCTAACAATGAAAAACTACGAATGGATGTCAATAAGGTAAATTGAAATGAAAGACATGTGTAGCAGCTTCCTGTTACAACATTAAATAACTCATTTCTTCCTGACAGCATTTTCACATACAGTTCATCTGCTTCACAAATCTCGTAAAGAATACAGTGAGTCCATCCTGTTTAAAAACAGCCTTTTCAGATGGTTTTAAAACTCCAGTTTACATTTCTAGTGAACTCAGTTGATTTAGCTTGGATAAAAATGTGGAAGCAGAGGAAAATAAAATTCCAGTAGAAAAAAATGCATTATGACTGTTCATCTTGTTGTTCAATGCAGGTAAAATCCAAGAAACTAAATACAGTGAGCATGGTGGTGGTTTTGGTGCTGCTGTTTTTAAAGGAAAGCAAAGGTTTCCTAAAATTGAGGAACAAGGCATTTGTTCATGATACTTTTTCTAATAATTATTACTTTCTGTGGGTTTTTTTCATAATTTTTTTCTGTGCTCAGCAAAATTCACTTACTGCTCCATATTTAAGTAGTAACATATAAATATGTATTAAAAATCTATTTAGTAGTGTCTCATTGCCACACTCTATTAGTACTCTTTATTTGGCTTGTAACAATAAAAGGTTACATGAACTTATCTGAGTGGGAATGTTGAAAGTTATGCTAACATTATAGAAACTGATGGTCACAGGATGCTACAGAAATGTTCAGTTTTCCAAAATTCTTCATGTAGTAAGACTTCAAAGAATGTGCAAAGTATCTCTTATACAAATCATGTGGGTGTCTATAAGCCATACAGCTATATTTAAGACAAGGAGTGATAATTACAGACACCCAGATTATTCTTTACTAAGTTGCAAAGTGATATTGTTTCAGAGTCTCATTTTTCTGAATGTAAAAATTAGTTGTATGACTCAGTATTAAGGTAAAAGTAGCTATAAGATCACAACCCAAAACTATTAAATGGGTGAAAAGTGTTGTCATAAGAGCTGCAAGTAGAGCATTCCTTATTTGGAATTCAAAATCAGAAATACTCCAAAATCCAAATTTGACCACCTGGTGGCTTAGATAGTGACCTTTGCATTCTGATGGTTCAGTGTACACAAGCTTTTTTTCATGCACAAAATTATTAAAATTACTGCATAAAATAAGCTTCACGCTATGTGTATAAGGATATATGAAACATCAATGAATTTCAAGTTTGGATTCTGATTTCATCTCCAGGATATATCATTATGTACAAATATGCAAATATTCCAAAAATGGGGGGGGGGGGGTTGTCTCAATTCCAAAACATTTCTGGTCCCAAACATTTCAGATCAGATGTACTCTACATGTATTAAGGTGCTTGCAACAACAAAGCCCCTGATCCTAATTTTTCCACTTACACATGGGTCTCAGTTACAAATGGATGCTCTCACTATAGGGTAAGCAACTATTGGGCCATTTTGCTGTTCAGGGAGCCACACAGACTCCCCCCACCCAAAATAAAATAAAATAAAACAAAAGCAGGAATTGTGAAATGTCCACTTCTGGATATATAAACGGAGCATCTTTTTATGCTAAGCAGTGAATTAAAACTCCAGCAAAGGATCACCGCCTTGTCGGGGCGCTGGAGCTTGAGCACCTCAATGATGTCATGAGCGAAACTGTGAAGGGCCACCCAAGACGGGACGGTTGTGGCAGAGAGGTCAGACCAAGCGTGATCCCTGGGGAAGGCAATGGCAAACCACTCCAGTATCCTTGCCAAGAAAACTAAATGGACCAGTACAACCAGAGATATGTCGGTATGCCATTGGAAGATGGGACTCCCAGGTCGGAAGATGGCCAAAATGCTACCGGGGAGGAGCAGAGGATAAGTTCAACTAGCCCCAGATGTGATGACGCAGCTAGCTCAAAGCCGAAAGGAAGGCTAGCGGCCGACGGTACTGGAGGTGAACGACGAATCCGATGCTCTAAAGATCAACACACCATAGGAACCTGGAAGTAAGATCTATGAGCCAGGGCAAACTGGATGTTGTTATTGGGGAGATGTCAAGACTAAAGATAGACATTCTGGGGGTCAGCGAACTGAAATGGACTGGAATGGGCCACTTCACATCAGATGACCACCAGATCTACTACTGCGGACAAGAGGAACATCGAAGAAATGGAGTAGCCTTCATAATTAATAAGAAATTCGCTAAAGCGGTGCTTGGATACAACCCAAAAAATGACAGAATGATCTCAATTCGAGTGCAAGGAAAGCCTTTCAACATTACAGTGATCCAAATATATGCCCCAACCACAGCTGCTGAAGAAGCAGAAGTAGATCAGTTCTATGAGGATCTGCAGGACCTACTGGATAATACACCAAAAAGAGACATTATTTTCATTACAGGAGACTGGAATGCCAAGGTGGGAAGTCAAATGACAACTGGGATCACAGGCAAGCATGGTCTGGGAGAACAAAATGAAGCGGGCCGCAGGCTGATAGAATTTTGCCAGGAAAACTCGCTGTGTATAACGAATACTCTTTGCCCCTTAACCCCTGAAATAACGAGACAGACAACAAAGGTATGGATTCAAATTGGGCAACTTTTATTGAATGTTACCTATTTAACTTTTCCTGAACTAAACTAAGTGTCAAGGAACTTGGTGGCTAACCGAGTCAGCGTCCTCGGCTACTTAGTGTGTAAAATTTGTGTGCCCTGGATCCCCAACCGGGCAACCTGAAGGTAAAAGTCTGGAGAAGCCTGTGTCCGATTATTGATATCAGCTTCTCTCCTTACTGTGCCAATTGATGTCCCCTCACCCATTTGTTGACTTCTAGGTGAGTGATTGTTGTACACTGCCCCCCACCCTTAAGGGGTGCCTTGCGTATACCTCCATGTCTGTGTTTTCCTGATCTATTTATGCCACGGATTGGGGGCAAATGTCTATTTCGCCCCCATCCCCCACCAAGCCCCTCAAAACTTCCTGAATGCCTAACTGCAAATCAGCCCAAATTGTGCGTTACCCAATCTGTGAGGTGTACACCATACACGGTGAAACCTTGTTTTGTCATGTGTAATGTCTCCATGGTGTATGCCCCATGCCAAAGCCGTGCGCATGGCCCCGTCCACACGCTGTCGGCCTTCTCGAGCTTCCTGACGTCACCGCCTCCTGACCACCGAAGGCGTGGAATGATGGCCGACCAAGCGATGTGAACCCGGGGCCATGCCTACCAAATCTCAAAATGTCGGCACGGGCTTGTAGATACAGGGCCCTGCCGCTAAGCAGGCCCAGATCATTACCTCCGATATGGAGCACCGGGCCAACGAGGCCCCGAACACCCTTCCACTCGACCAATGCAGTGGAAGCGCACCCAGACGCTGGCCAAAGGACGAGTTCCCGGCGTATCTCTCCGCCCAGTGGACATCATTATGCCCACAACAAGGATTCTCCAACTATGCACCAGCCTGGCAGTCCCTGCAAAATAAACCACAAACAAACAAACGCCGGGCGAACCTATCGCCAGTAATCGTCCCATTTTCCCCCTGCCCATTGCAGTAACCGTCCTATTTTTTCCCCGCCCATTGATTAAGGGATCACATCTGATTACATGGATCTCCAATTAGAGGATAATGTGGGAAACTGGGACCCAACATATGAACATGTAAACCCACTGAAAAACCTTCCCATAGGTACTTAACTGCCCCCTTCTGGGTACTGATCCAGCCAAACCTTCAACTGATTTAACTTAATTGGGCTGGGGCCCTTGCGAAACTGCGGCCTGACCTGAAGGTTTCTTAACGATACCCCTCGCGGCCCTCCCCTTGGGGCAATTTCGGGATGGATGGGAGCCATAACAAATAGAGCACGAGTGCGAGTATCGACAGTCCTTCCGTGAACAGACTCCCTGAGCCACAAATTCCCAGCATAAAGGCTTTTGGCCCTGGGACTGCAGCTGGGGAGCCCCCTGCCGAGAGAGCTGTCCCGCTGTGTTCTGAATAGTGTGCCCACTGTCCGCTTTCAAGGCAGAGGAAGCCCTAGATGGATTCATCACTTCAATCCAAATTTGATCATCGATCAAGTCCCACCGTTTTTCTGGGTGGCAAGCCGCTTCAGTTCTAAAACGCCTATCATACTCTAGCCAAGCGTTAGGAGGGCCGCTAACATAAGCCTTGTTAATAATATTCTGATACTGCCACAAAGCTGTAGCCCTTTCCGGGGCAGCATCAGAAAGCAGATTTGCATACATCATGAAACAAGGGAGCCAGTTCTCCCAATTCTGCTCAACCTTGCGTTTCTTAATTTTTTCCTTACTGTCCTCATCTAACTCACCCTTCTCCTTCTTATCCAAATCCCTAAAGTATAAAGAGAAGATATCGATATATTCGTTTCTCAATATCTTCTCTATAGTTTTGGCTGCCAAATGCGAACCTAAACCTGAAAGACTGACAGTAGGAGTCGCCTGCGGCGGCCATTTCGCTGTGCCCCAAAATTTGTTAGCTTCACCAATTCGAGCCGATTCCAAAGTGACAGTAGCTGTTTTTGCCGATTGAATGTTGGAAGCATCCCTATTATCTCCTATACTGGGTTCCGACCCACCCGCAGACTGAATCCCAACTGCAGCATGTGACTGAACCCCCACCCCAGATTGAAGCTGCCCCTGGTCCCAGGGCCATGTGAGTGAGGTGGAAGTACTTGCTAATGTGAGTGTGGTGGAAGTACTTGCCGGGACAGCCGTCACCAACTGCTCGCGCCCTGCTACCTCGGTGGAAGCAGCAGTCGACCCCACCGACTGAGTGGACCCGGCCACGGCACTGGACGTGGAGGCCAATGCCGCGGGCTGACTGGGTCCGGCCACAGCAGCCACCAAGGACCCGGACGAAGTCTGCACAGATGGACGTACTTCGGGGTTGGTGATGGTCTGCACCGCCAAAGACATCGAAGAAGAGCTGTCCGCAGCCCCCATAGCCGCCGGCTGGTCAGGAAGCCGAACCGCCTTTGCAGCCCCCACAGTCGAAGCCGACTCTAAAATAGAAACCCGGGACAACAAGGATTTAAACAATTGCTTC